GTATGTCTGTAAATATGTATTATATGTTACCGTTGTGAAGTATATAATTCAATGAAATAATTAATCGTTTTCAAAAGAAAAAAACATTATGTAAAATGAATTTTATATAATATATTACTTTAAATTGTTTTATGAAATAATTATTAATTGTAAGTGATATACCGAGTTCACGAAAGATTAGTAATTAATCTATGAAATGTAATTTACATTTAAAGTCTTTCTGAATTTTCTTACACTATAACAATGCTCGTAATTAATCGTTCTTATCATATTTTTGTACTTGAAAAAAAAAAAGAAAAAAGAAGAAACTAATATTCTGTAAGTCGTGTTATTTTATCGGATCCAATCTACGAATAAAATTTCAATTTCTATACTTTAATTATTCGCGCCTCTCGTGAATTCCTTTTTTTTATTATCTAATTAAAATATTGTAATATTGTATTTTTATTTCATACTTTATATAAAAATCATTCAGTATAATATAATTATTTCACGATAAATTAATAATAATGAATTAACGAATTTCACATGTTTTAATTAACAGTAACATATATACATATCTATGTAGATATAAATAACAATGAATATAAATATACGATTTAAAGTTGGTCTATCAATTTTATTATTTTCGATAAACATATACGATACTTTTCACAACTCGTTATGGAAAGATATTTCAAAAATGAAAGAGTTATATGAAAGAGAATGAGAATAAGAGAGAGAAAAAGAGAAAGAAATCAAAAAAAAAACAAGAAAATTCGTTGAAAGTTTACGAGCACGATTCGGATATCGGATACGCGAATAGAACGAAAACAACAGGAGAGGAAACTTTTACGATTGAAATTCGGGACAAAATCGAAGAACTAAACAAAACCGTCTGTAGTGTTTCCTCTGTCCTCCACATTTCAACACGTGTGATTTTCTCCATAGTTAGAATCCACCACAACCATCCACTCTACTACTATTACACTATATATATATATATATGTTCCGAATAAAAATTTTCAACGTATAATCAAATTAATATTAAATAGTAATTATTATAAAAGATAGTGTCGAGATTAAAGCATCGAATAATAAATTATTGTTTAACGTACAAATATGTGTATATCTATGTAAATGCAATCATATATTTATTATTATTAATATTATAATTGTTACATAATGATACGAAATGCATTCACTATAATATGTAGCATTAATAACGACATCCTTTCGAAGAAAATTACGATGAAACTTATGTTAAAACGAAATCGGAAACACACGTCCAGCAGAAAGTAAATTATTCCCTGTGTTATATAGATATATATATATATATATGAAATATTCATTGAAAACTAATGAAACATAGAAGTAACATTTCAACGTGATGCATTATAATGTAGAGTAATCAACGACAATTCTAAAACAATTAAACGAATAATTGACATTAAGATATATTTAACTGCATTGGAATTTTTAAACGATTCTAGTTGACCATAATTTTGTGATTTTTACGTTTTACTGGTGTAAACTAACTCGTCTGTTTATATTCATTCGACAATTTGATACGTTCGTAACTGACGCACGTACGATGCACTATTAATTGCAACCAACGACCCATGCATTTAAATTAAACGCAATTACGTCTCATTACTAAACTTCGATTACTTTTTATCTTCGAAAAAGTCGAAGTTTTCTTTTTTAAATAAATATCATCAACTTGAATAACTTTAAATAACTTTTAACACACGTTTAACGAGGAACGATGTTATTCGTTTGCAAAAAAAAAAAAAAACAAGAAAGATATTAAAAAATATATATAAAAAAAATATATATATATAAAGAGATGTTACCGTTTAACCTTTATTTTATGTTGTATTTTTTTCTTCTTATTATAAATGATCGAATTCGTCTAACTTTTTCTACCATCTGGATTTATTAGTTTACTGAAAAAAAAAAACAAAAAAAAAAAGAAAAATATATTACCATCAGCAAATATCAGAGTGTAATGGCTTGAATAACTACTTTGTAGAAACTGTTCTTTAATGATGGTTTTTCTATGAGAAATGGTGTCATTCGTTTAAAGAAAGAAAAAATATTCTCTCTCTTTCTCTCTTTCTTTTTTTTTGTTGAGAATACATTATCGTATATCAAGATAGGTATGTATATCGAGAGAAAAAAACTCCGCCGGCAACGATAATAAAAAAAAAAAACACACGGTCAAGTAATTTCGAAAATATTTTACAAATAAAATAATGGAATGAATTTCCTTGGTCACCTTGGTTAAGAATTTTCGAAAATTCGCGTCGTTCGTTAAATCTTTTTTCATACTTCTGGGAAAAAGGGTCACGAAGATGGAAGATAGTACTTTTCTCCGGTATCTTTTTGTAAAGCAAATATTCCGCATCAGTCACGATCATTTAAATGGTTTCTCTGAAATCTCACGAGACGACAAACTGAAGGATAGGACAAAATTCGAACGCGAATATGCGTAGTAAGGACGATGTACATTTCGAGATCGTTATTTCGCGTTTCTTGATAAAATGAATTTTCTTTTTTTTTTCTTTTTCTTTCATTATAATAACGCGATATAGCTTTTACACATTGTGTCAATAAAATAATATACGATAAAAGATAATCGAGATTACGAGAGATTTTGAAATTATATTAAATATTTTATAAACTTTTTACTAAAATAAAAAATAAATAATAATAATAAAGGAGAATCTACAATATTGTTCGAAGTACAATAATTAGAAACATATTAAAACGAACGTAAGAATAAAATATCTAATTAAAATTCGAGAAGAGTATTTAAAAACAGATATATATCGCAAAAAAAAGAAATGTTTATTAGTAATCGATCGAAACGTAAATAAATACGATAGCAAAAATAAAACAAATTTAAAGATACTTAATATAAGATATCGCGAGATGATAAAAATAATAATAATAATAATAATGAATAAATTAATATCGATTTATATTTTGGTCGTAAACAGGTCCATTGTTAAATTTGAAAAGATTGTTGAATATCATTAACTTTATTGGCAACTATCTAAAAATACGTAAAGCTATATACTTCTCCCCTAAACTCCCCTTCTATAATACACGAGTTTCTCACTATACCTAAGTAGTCTACTATAGTACTACTTGTCCAATTTTAACGCAGTAATACTGTCCACACTGTCCTACTCTTAACCGGGAGACGTTGTGTCCTTGATAATTGCGAAATTTGGACCGGGTCTCATACATATAATGTTAAGTCTTGTATAGAATCTAACGTAAAACTATATAACAGTACAATAATAATGCTCATTCATTATATACCCTAGAATATATCATTATTATAATAATTATGAACAAAAAAAAAATTTGTTTAAATCTCATAGAAGAAAAAATAAGGTATCCTATTGACTTCAACATTAATCCAATCTTTTTTTTCATTCATTCTCGTAAGGTCAACAATTTTTTTAATTTTCCACAATGATGGGAGAGAGAGAGAGAGAAAAAAAAAGAAAGAGAACAAATATCACTAACATTCGTAATTCTTAAGTTGATTTGATTAATCGAGAATCGGTATATACATTGAAAATATAAAAAATGACTAGGCTACTTGAGAGAAGCAATTACTCATGTCGGTAACAGACAATAGGAGTATTTATCCAAATGATAAAAACGGTATCATCAATAATGAAAGGCAACGAACTGGGACTAGGGGAAAAATCTGTTTGATAGCTCGCGTCATTTTATGTTTAAAAACGGCTCGTGCGTAATAATGACGAGAGAAGACGACGAGTTTAAGATACCTAAGTAATGCGTCAACAACGTCAAGTAAAAATAATCCAACTGTGATCTTATTGTAATAAATATTTTTTAACATTTTGATAATCATATTCGAATGACGTTTTGAAATAGAAAAAAGATAAAAACAAGACATGCAAATACGCGTGACGTATAGAACGAAGAACATGCATACGCATTCGTTTTAAACTAACAATAAACTGCGTCGGATTTTCGAAAGATCGATCTTTTTTTTTATTTTTTTATTAAAACTTTAAACAAAGCTTAGTGTCAGCGTTCGATCGTATTGCCGAGAAAACTAAATCGATTCATATCTAAAGAAACATTTTGAACTACTAACGGTCGAGAATAACTCGTAACTTTTGAAATTATTATATCAACATACAATTTTTTTTTCGTACGACGACGAGAGGAAGACAAATGTTGCCAGTATTTACGAATATACGATCTATTTACATTTTATTTTGATATTTTCTATATATACATATATATATATACGTGTTTTTCTTTCTATTATATTTTTCTTTTCTTTCTTTTCCTTTTTTTTTTTTTTTTTTTTTTCTTT